TCGCGGGTCTCTGCTCCACCTGCAAGCTAGAAGCGACGGCGGCACTGGAACCTACACGGAGACATTCGCACGACGACACATCGAACGGTCTGAGGCGGCGGCGACGGCTGCAGGGGCCGGGGCTGGTGATAGGGATAGCGGCGGCTGGTGTTTGCTGCAGCAATACATTGGACCCACGGGAACAAGAAACTCGACCCTGAGGTGTGTGCATATGCGTTGATCCTTCATAACAACGAATTTGGCAAGGAACTTCGTTGAAGTGAACATAACTTTCCTGTTCTGTGGAGGATGGTGAGTGTGGTTTACGCAGTCATTCAGCATATATGTTGCTTCGTCAGTCTCTCCAAGGTGCCATACAACAACTGCGATAGACATTGATACGCCATTCCCAATCTGTTCACTACAAATTGCTGTTGAACATTGCATGCCAGCGCTGATAGCAAGCACTAGTATTTCACTCGCGTGCATGCCTCAGATGCCATGTTCGCTGCCTGTTAGTGTCGCTCTTCGAAGTAAACAACGCGAATATCTGGAACACCTCAAACGGTGCTTCGTGGTGTGCAGGTGTCATTGGAGTGCGTTGTCATCTCATACCCCGGTGCGTGTCCGAAGCGCTCACCCGGACGTAGTGGAAAGGCATAGGTTTCGTTTGGGCAGCGTCGAGGAGATAGAAATGAGCTTCCGGGAACGATCCCCGGATCGGTCGCCGTTCCGGCAGCGATTGTCAGACCAGAGCGTGCCCAAACAGTCGGTCAAAGGTGCGAGAAGATAGATGTCGTCGGTTGATTTCTCATGCACGAATAGTACTCTTGAAATGTTATGCTGTATGAGATGCTCATGGGTTCACTGTGAACACTAGTAGTGGAGTAGTACTTACGGCCTGAATAGTGTGTACCATGACGAGTGTCAAAGCGAAACGATCGAAGTTAACCTTGAGGAGACGTTCCGAAGGGAACACTGGGACATAATGACCGTTGGGAAAATATTTGACTTGGGATCAATGAGCGCGCCGTGTGGGTGAAGAAAGCAACGAGGACAGATCTACGTTTAACCCACGAATTTTGCAGTCCTGGCATGAGTGTGTTGTGTCACGCACAGAAGAGATGGCCTGAACCGAGTAAGGCAAAGTGGTGACCACCTCGCGTGGTAAATCTGCCTGCGGACCGTCTGTTCCTAAACGTCGTAGAGATCAGGAGGGACAGATATTGATGCCACCGCTCACTCCTCTGCTGCAGAGACCGCCGAGCTCGAGCTCGGGGCGGCGGGAAGGTTGTCCAGTTCGGGGGGCGTGTACAACGGATGTCTGCTGGAGCGGAGCACAAACGTTTTTCGCGCCGACCGCAAAGACCTCCCCTGTGAACACAGGTAAGCACAACTATGTAGTGTGCGGCAAGGAGTCCATCGAATGATCTCTTCCATCCGTCGCCCATGCTCTATCCAAGATTATCCAGGGTCTCAAGGAAGAAGAAGTTCTCCGTTGTTCAGGGTGGGAGTAGCTTTGACTTCGGCTGCTAAATAGAGTTCAAATATCAGATCGTACTTTGGATAGGCGTATGTTTCCCCCCCTTATCAGCACGTGGGGTTTGCTCTCGGGTGTTTCGAAGCATCAATAAAGCTAACAAGACCCTATCCAGACTGATTCCACGAGAAACATGACAAGCGCGGCGACACGAACGTGCTCGGAAGATCAGGCGAGATACTTCTTGGAATGTATGAAGCCCGACATCGTGATATACCCGAAAGACTGCATGTGTGACCAAAGGCGTTCGAACATACATCTGATCTCCCGCAGGGGGTTGGGGGAGTACAAAGCGAGGTGTGAAGGTCAATCTTTGTTTGGGCGTACATAGACCACGTTCGTGCACATCGAAACTTGTAACGGCACCGATTTGGCGACAAGGTGGTAGACAACTATAAGACGCATAGGTATTAGCGCCTTATTCCGCAACAGGACGTGGGCGCACTTCTTCTTTACGCAGTGTATTGAGAAACCGGAGGACGGCACCACTCCCTATCTGCTACTATCATTTTTCAGGTGCGTGACATTCGAGGAACCACCGCCCTCCAGCAGGGGGGGGCTGTGGCCTCGAAGCGTGAGGGAGCCGATGAAGAGCCCCGCCCTGAGGCAGACAGTCGTAGAGGCATGCACCGCAGCATTGGACCATGTCTCGCTGGTGTGTTACATCAGATTGAAGGTCATCAGTGCGCAGCCGTCGTCTTAGGCGCAATAGCCGAAATACCCGGTTAGGGCCCAGCGTAAGATGGTGCACCGAGGTTCTCTAGGTAGATGGCGAAATTCACTGCGCGTTCTAATTACAGGCTGCTCGTGGCACGTCAAGTAGATGCCTTCAGTATCAACAATGACAGATAGGGTATCCGCTAGAAAACAATTGTCGACGGCGACAAATGCCTTGAAAAATCGCACAGCGACTCCCTTTTTTTTTTTCCACACCTAGGTGACAAGAGGAGAATTCCGGCCGAAGTTGGCGACGAGTTACTTCCGTCAGGGGGAGGACGGGCGGACTTTTTTGATGTTCCTCTCCCGATGGGGTAAGACCAACTACAGTTTTACCGATGACAGCCAACTAAAGCGCTGTCGTCTTTGCAAACTGTCACATGTAACGAGAGATGCACCAAGTGCGATGTTGCATCTCCTCCCGAAGAGATCTGAAAATCAGAACCATGTTCTCTTAAGCCCAGATGCAGAGATGCCCACCTGGCTGCAGTATTGCGTGGTTTGAACCCCATCCTTCATATCGGGAATGTAGTACCACACGCAAAATGTCCTGCAGAACTGGGCCACCATACGAAATGAAATGTAGTTTCGAGTTCTCAGCCATCACGCGCTCCGTGTGCAACTGACACGAGCGCTTGCCGTACGTTTGGATGCACTTTTTTCGTGGTCCGTTTTGCAACCGCATTGGATATTTACCCTCCACTCCCCTCTTGGTTTGAGCCTGAGTTACCGGTACAATGTGGCACAAAAGGCAGCCTGGGGATTGTGTGGTATAAACGCATGCACCACAACCCCTAAAAGGCCACCAACCATGCCGCACATCTGTTTTTTTTTTCCATGGCTTGATCTGTTCATATCCCCATCGGAGCAGGTCAGAGCCCTTCACTTGGAATCGACGCGAATGAACCACTGCTGTGCCGAACTGGCACGGGTAGCGCAACACTGCCCATCCATGACTCCGTAGGACTCGACAACCAGGCCCGGTTACAACACGTATTGGGGATAGGAGTAGAACCTACCGTCGCGACCACAATAAGCCCCGATCGAGAGGGAAGTGTAGGAGGGCTGGGGGCGCTGCAAGAGTACGGGAGGCCTGTACACCACGGGCTCGTATGCCCTGGATGCGGTCGCTCCGGCATACGAGGTGGTGTTCGTTCCGATAACAACGGCTCGAGCACGATGCACGGGGATACACAAGTCCGCGGAATAGCCCCTAGCCACCTAGTGATGACGCAGAACACGGGCCCTGCAATGTGTTGTCCAAGCGCGAATTGCAACAATGCGGTGGCGAACTTGGGAGACTGCACCGGCAACGATAAGGTGGCTGCGGGGGAAGAATCCTCGTCACGGGCACCATCGCTGCATGGCTTGGCGTCCACTACGTTCTCTCCACTCGACCGCACAGTCTACACAAGCCTCGGCATTGTGGTGGATGTTTGTACTTGGTCTGAAACACTCCGCGGTGGCCACGCTGCACGAAATGGCGACTGTGGTTCGATTGCCAACAACGGTGAGAGCGCTCACACGTGCTGCATGATGGCCTTGGCACAGCTTTCAGCGACAAACGTAGACAGCGGTGGTGCATCCCACACATCGAGCTATCGCGCACCGCGATGCATCCGACCCCGAAACGATGTTGTCACCGTTGTTCGTAGTAGCTATTTCGGACGCCGCATGAGCGACAGTGGTAATGAGTCTGCTCCAGTGCGTCAGAGAATGTTCAACGAGAATAACGTGAACCCCACCCTGCACGCCTTTCAACGGAAGTCACAGGGAGAAGAACAATCGCCAGGATCGGAGTCAAGCGATGTTTTCGGGTGCTCAATAGGCTCCACCCAGGAGTCCGCGCGGAAGCAATCTCAGTGCGCTGCAATGAAGATCTCAGGCTGCGGTTGCGAAGAGTCAGTGTCTGCAGAGAGTGCGCCCTCGAAATCGCCGGCGCTTCGGGTGGGTGCCCAGATGCTTGCTGCCGTTTATTGTGGGATGAAGGAGAATGTGGTTGAGCAATGTGGCTTTGCGGTTTGTTATGGCTGGAAATCGGCAGGATATAGCGTTAAATACGAAGCGAAGAACAAGTGAACCCGTCGGACGGATATCAGGGCTGACAGAAATCAAATCTCAACACTCTTTCGAGAGTGTCCTGAATTTCAAGAGTGTCCTGAACAAATACCCTCCAACAGATGTGCGACTCCGCGAGATGAATGATGCGGCGAAGAGAAAAATGACTGAGCTAGCCGCCCGCCTGGGGGTCACGACCTCCGCCCCGCCCCTGTCAGAACGGTGAGGACGAGGGTCACTGCTACCGCGTGTTGTACCTGTTGATGAAATTGTCCTACCTCAAACCCGAGACGGCTCGACCAGCAGGGTGGTTTTATTCCAGCAACGCTGCTCACGTTTCCCGAGTCTGACGTCGATTCCGAAACAGGTGTATTCAATGACAACATGCTAGGATCGATGCTTCGCGCAACGGCCTGGTCCACATTGAGTATACTACCATCGTACACGACGCTAATCTTGTCTTGTGTTTTTTCGTCACGGCAGCGCTTGATACGTGCAACACTGACCTCATCATCCCCGGCTTCAGCCTGAATGGTACCTCTCAATCACCCGCGTGTTCTGGAATCGCCTTGCAAACCATAGCCAACGCAAAGCTCGAGTTTCGGAAGACATCAAAGCTTTCCAACGACGAGTCGCATCAGCATCATCAGAACCCTCTCAGACCCGAACACGCTTGCAGAACTGCTTCGGGGGCGGGCCAAGCCGCATGGGCGAGGTGCCGATAAAGCAGTTTGGATATGTTCCCAAGCGACCGCTCGGTAAAAGACTCGGCAATCGACCAAGCACAACTGATGGCCTATCGCCCAGACAGCAGGTACGTACAGCGTTTTGAGAGACAATCTTACAACGAGGCAGAACCTTAGTAGCCCTTGTGTTAGATGTCTTTTACAGGACAGGAGCCTGTATTTCTTGTTCGGTTTTGCTTTGCCTTATGGAGTTGGGAATGTTTCCGTGGACGAAGGGGGCTCAAAACCAGTGAGTGCAGAACAACAAAGTCAACAGTTTTCATCGGTCGCGGTTTGCCTGGATAGGTGTTTCACACGACAAGTTTGACAAAGGGTCGACCGTTGCCTCCTATTTTCGTGAAGGTATTCCAACACTCTCCGCGCAAGATCGTGAGCGCAACCCAACCGCCCGGTGGGTTCAGCGTTGCGACTAAGTACCATGAGGAGGTGCGGATGGCAACACCGAGCAACGGCAAGTCGGCCACTGAGACTTCTTTTCGCAACAACAACGAGGGTAGGGCGAATGAAACCACTACCAGCAGCGCCCTACGGCACACCTCTTGTGGAAGCGATGCCGATGGTGGTAGCGGTGGCGATGGTGGTGGTGGTGGCGGCGGTGATGGTGATAGTAACGAAGATCGTGTCGGCCCGGATGACGGCTTCAATTCTTCTAATGAATGCGTCGGTGCCGATGAATCTTCAACAATGAATGCTTGGCAAGACGAACGTGAAAGACACATACAAACACGGCACGAACACAAGCAACAACGGCAGCGGCAGCGGCAGCAGCAACAGCAGCCAGCACACACAGGTACCAGTGGGTGGAACTTCTACGACCGATCTAATGTTGCGTTCCGCAGCCGTCGTCTCTTCGCCGCGTACAGTGGCACCGGAATAGGAGACCCTGGGGGGGGGGGCGTATCGCCGAGGCGCGCTGGCAATGCCCGATGTGCCAAGGTGACTCGTTTTCGATATGTTCACACGGTTCTCTGCAGTAAACATGTCGATACCTACATCCTGGTCACACGGCCGTACGGGGGATATTTATGCCTGTGCACGGTAACTCGCTTGAGTTGGAGGTTGTGCTCCGAAGTGAGCGTTTTCCCGCAGAACATGCATGATAGTCACTGCAAACGACCAAGAAACATTTGTACGTGAAAATCTTTCGATACGCCGTCTTCTGGCCATTATTGACATCCTTAGATGCCTTTCCACACCAGTGTCTACCTCTCTGTTAGTTCGTGTGATTGAACATCATCGACCCGTATTCATGGTAGTCGTACTAAGCGTGCCATCCCAATACTGGGAATCGGCAGTGGAATTCTTTCCCGGTTATCGAACCCGCATGCATTGCTTTCAGCGATAGTGCCCGACGAACGTTCTAATCGCTCAAACGTTATCAATTGCAAGGTTTCATCACCCCTCCCCCCCCCTCGTCCGTTTATTCCGCCGCGGTGATCCTCGACAGTCAGCAACACCCCTGCGTGAAAATAGTCAGCAGCAGTCGCACTCTCCTACAACGCGTGCCCCTCGTGTTTCACGCTCTGCATGGGCACGGGCACTAGCACCGGCAGGCGTCGCCCGCCGAGGACGGGGCGGGGGCCCGAGACGTATCGGCGCCACCACCTCGGGCCCTGAGAGTAGCTCTAAGGCCCTCCAATGGGCGAAGACAGTCAGCACGAAAAATGCTGCGGCGTTGGGAAGCAGCGCTGAACATTCGGCATTGGTCTCCCGTCCTCCGAGACGGCATCCTAATGACCGGTCAGGTAGCAGAAACTGTGTCACGGAAGAACCTGGGGTCGGGGGCGCGAACTGCAACAGAGAATCCCGCGATACGAGCGGCAATGTATGTCGCGGCCGAATTGGATCTTGTCGTGAACGCGGCAACAGCAAGAATGCCGCGGGAGGTAGGAGGGGGGGTGAACCAGAGAGTCTCGAGAAGGGGGGAACCCAACGCGGGCCGGGAACGTCTGCTACCTGGAACCGCAACGTGAAAGAGCCAAGTGGGACAACGTCTATCGTGGGTGATGACAGCTACTCGGGCGATTCTTTCGCTACCGATGATGATACCGAGAACATAAGCCTCGAAGATCGAGAAGAAGGCCCCGAAAGCAGAGCTTCGAGAACCGAAGAGCTCCGGCTCAGCGGTATCCGAATCGAAGACGACGACGCGACGGTCGGAGCCATCCCAAGCACGGTTGTCGAGACGGGACGAAGTATAGATTAGGTGCCAGTAGTATAGACTGGTGGGATGGCAGAGTGTCAGGGGCATATTTATTTTGGAAAAAATTCTGTTGAGACTCGACGAGTAACAAAGAAAGTCAGAGTTTTGACACAATGGTGTTTTTGACCTTCAATTCGAAATGTCTTCATCGTTTTCGTGCCGGCCGACCTTTGACCAGTCTTTTTTTGTCTCCGTTTCATGGCATACCATCGCTCACGAGTCATGTGTTGATCGAAGTGTCATTTGTCTCATCGAAAAAGCGACGTCGTGCTAGGTAGGTTGCGACCATTCTGTTTCGAGTCCTCGACATGAGCCCCTCGTGTGACCCCCCCCTTCCTTGTGGCGAGAGCAGGTGGTCAGAGGCGTCAGTGGGTTTTGGTTGGAATGAGGTTGGGTGTTTTTGTTTTCCCCATTCGAGCCCCGAGATGGGTCAAAGATCCATGATGAATTCGAACCTTCGCTCGCGTGTGTATCTTTGATGGCCTGACGAAAATTCCCGGTGTTCGTGCAACCTTGTTTTCATCAAGCTGTGATTACCAAGACTCTAGCTATTGAACATCCCGCTCGCGTGGTTTTCTTTTCACATATCCGGGATGTTTCGTCGTTCTGTCCATTCCAAAGTCTTCCAATCTTGTTCTTGTTTTCCTCTTGACTCTCTGAGTTTCTCTAACACCCCCAGTTTTTTTTTTTCCCGGCTGCTGCACACCACTCCGGACGTTTCAACGGAGATGCCAAGCAGAGGTTTTGTGAGGTTGAGACCTGTTTCAAACCCTTGCACCGTCCGGGGAACTGTTCCGCGACCGTGGTTGATCTGGGCCCGCCACGGTTGGTGTACACGCCCGCGACGGCTACGTAGGTGGATTGGTAGTTAGGTTTGCTATCAAGTACCTCAATATTTGTAGGCTTGACGTACGCAAGCAGTTTCCACTCGCAATGCTCATCACTGTAGGCCGCATGCTGTTCGTTTTGGATGTTACGTTTCCATGGTCTCCCCCCCAACTTCACCTTACGCGGCTACTTTTGTTTGGAGGCAGGGGTGTGGGTGGTGAATTGGTAGCCGCAGCGTTGATCTTTACGGGACACCTCGCGATGAGAGTTAGGCTCCCCAGAGGTTTGTGAAGCATTTGCATTTGCAACCAACAATGCGGCAAGTTGGATACGTCGCTCTTTTAGGTGTGTACGGTTGGTGTTTCGGAGGCTGCGATATGAGACTGCTCGTGATAGGAATGCGGCGGTGTCAGAGAGGTTGGCTCGAGCATTCCCGCATCAATGTCTTAATGGTTGATGGTGATGCAGTCGTGTTCGCTGTTGACGTTTTCTTCCGGTTTCGTAATTCCTATGTCTTTCCTTGTCCTCTCAAGCAAACCTCAAGACTAGGTGCACAGACGCGAAAATTATGTGGTCACAACAAGTAAAACCAGCAAACTAGAATGGAAAATTCCAGACACAAAAGAAAGGCCGCGCTTGCTCGCCAAGAAAAGTTGTCGGAAACGTGTAAGATTCAAGGAAGAATAATGAAAGTTTGTTGTCTAGACCGACTAAACTGTAGTTTATTATGCACGGAAGAATTCGGAATATCTCCAAGATCTACGGTTGTATTTGGGTTCTTGTTGTGCCGTCCCGGAGGCGTGTTGGTTGGGTTGTCTTGGTTTGATTTTCTGGGGTCTTACAAAAAGAAAGGTCTCACGAAGTTCTCATTCTGCTGCCTCGCTGCTCCTGTATCAAGAGTTTGATAGACGCGTGTCTACTGGACCAAGGGCCACGTGTTGAGGAATGCACAGTGTGTAAGACGCAGCCCGCGTCGGAGGGTCACGCGGGAAGGAGGGCAGCAGCTAGCTACATCGAAGTTTGGACCCGTGTAGCTAGCAGAAATTCGTAGCTTTTGTAGCCACCGCCGAGAGACAGACTAGGGTCTCTCTGAGGTAGCGCTCGCCGTTGTGCTTCTTGGTGGAGGAACTCTTTGAGTCCTCCGATTTGGAGATTTTCTAGGCGGGCGGCGCGTCACGAAGGCCAACGGCTGAGCTGTGCCGTCCCGTTTCGCGGTCAAATTGCGTGCAGGGTGCGTATCTCACAGTTATGTGTTGGTAATATAATAAGCGTAATGCACGACATCGGACGACCCGACGGGTTGTACTGTTGTTGTATCCCGAAGCAGATATCGCACGACTTCGAAATGGGTGTTTCTGAATGGTAGTGCGTACCATTGGGAGGCTCAATCGTCCGAGACTGCTACTGTGCAACAGTTTCGTCCCGTCTGGTAGTATTCGGAGGGAGATTTTGTGTTTTAGAAGCAGAGACACGTTAGGATACCGCAGAGGCTTTGTGCCGTGCGGAACGTGTGGTACGGGGGATGTCTCCCTCCGTAGGCCACAGAAATATTAATCAAGGGCAATTCGAAGGAAAACAATAAAATGAAAGTTTGTTGTCAAGACCGACTAAACTGTAGTTTATTATGCACGGAAGAATTCGGAATATCTCCAAGATCTACGGTTGTATTTGGGTTCTTGTTGTGCCGCCCCGGAGGCGTGTTGGTTGGGTTGTCTTGGTTTGATTTTCTGGGGTCTTACAAAAGAAAGGTCTCACGGAGTTCTCATTCTGCTGCCTCGCTGCTCCTGTATCAAGAGTTTGATAGACGCGTGTCTACTGGACCAAGGGCCACGTGTTGAGGAATGCACAGTGTGTAAGACGCAGCCCGCGTCGGAGGGTCACGCGGGAAGGGCAGCAGCTAGCTGGACCCGTGTAGCTAGCAGAAATTCGTAGCTTTTCTCCCGCCCACCCACCCCTTTTCTTTCGAAGGTGGGGGATAGGAGATGTTGCGAGTGAGGACTCACCTAGGAGAGGCATCTTAATATTTCTGTGACTCGGAATTGGTGCAACCTTTGCCACGCAGAAGTATGGCGTAGCATTGGGGTATTTTCTGAATGGTAGTGCGTACCATTGGGAGGCTCAATCGTCCGAGACTGCTACTGTGCAACAGTTTCGTCCCGTCTTGTAGTATTCGGAGGGAGATTTTGTGTTTTAGAAGCAGAGACACGTTAGGATACCGCGGAGGCTTTGTGCCGTGCGGAACGTGTGGTACGGGGGATGTCTCCCTCCGTAGGCCACAGAAATATTAATCAAGGCAATTCGAAGGAAAACTATAAAGCTGGGGTTTGTGAAGTGCCTGAATCGTTGTAGATATGAAAGCGATTATGCGGGGAAGTTGGTTCGTTTTTTTTCGTGACTCTGGAGTTTGTTTGTCACTTGTCGCGGGCCTGGGACTTCCTGTTACTGTTCTGGTAACCAAATACATACGTACATAACAGATCAAATGGTCTATGCGCGGGACTCCGCCCATTCTTTTCACCGCCAAGGTGCATAGTAGCGCATATTTGGATGTAGGGGTGGTTGTGCCGAAAGACGAAGATACCGGCAAAAGCCCTATCTCCAGGTGCAGCTGATTGTGAATTATTTTCGATGTTCATGTTTTTTTCCCTCAAGTAAGACGCGATGCATACGAAAAAACGTGGATAACCTTGTTTCCTATAGGGGGGTGGCGCTCCCTGTCGATCCCAATTAATACTACATATCTCAACCGATTTGGACAGATCTCGGAGCAAATGTTTGTGTGCGTACTTTTCTGACTCTGAGTAAACTTGAAATTGAGATATCGGCCAAAAACCCTGTCTGTCTGGGATACCAGTGCACCTGTCCCCTTTGCCATGGATGACAAGGAGACCACTACTATTTACACACGATTTCAAATTATTTGCGTGCAAAGAGAGAAAGAAGACTTATATTCCGTCTTGAACCCCGGTGAGAGCGTATTTTGCCTTGTTCAGCGAGAAACACTCGATCGAAGATATTCCCGCGACTCGCGCAAGAAACATACAAACAAGGGGAATCGGGAGTAAAATATTTGTCGTTGCAAAAAACGGTACATAGAGCAGGGGATGTACAGGTATGTATGTAGATGATACCGTTCTATGCTAGCTAGTTGTCCGCCTTTTTATTTACAGAAGAATCCGTACACCTTCTTCGCACCCTGCTTGTCAAGGAGGACCCGATTCGCAGGGTATCCGTTGATTTACTTTTACCAGAATCGGTACACCTCCGCATACGGTGTCAGCGGCAGGACACTACTGTAGTACTGGTTCGGAGCTCCTTGGGTGCATGCCATGCACATTGTTCTCCTGACTTTGACATTTTCCCAAGGACGGACGCAAAAAATGTGTGTCAGTCCTGAGAGCACCTCTCCTTCTTTTGGATGGAGTCGATCCTACAAATTTGTGACACTTCGTCGAATTACTTGTCCGGGCCACGAGAGGTTCTCAGTTGAGGGTAAACTCTGTGGCTTTTTGTTGTTGTCTTTACATTAAAAACCGTTCCTTTCTCTCTACCCAGTACCTTCTTCTGTCCATACTAGTCTAACACTTGACGGGGTCGATTCCCGTGGTCACAGGTCAGGTTAACTTACCAAAAAATGGTATACGAAAATAAAATGGATCCGAAGGGTCCGCAAGCCAATAAAAGTCGACGACAGATAGTGGAGAACTTTAATTAAGGAGGACCCGACTCGCAGGGTATCCGTCGATTGACATTATTCATTTACCAACATCAATCGGTACACCTTCGCAACCCCCCGAACGGGGGACCAACTAGCTAGCCAGTAGAAGTGTACGCAGCAAAATTGATGAGGCGAACATATGGGATAAAGTATTCAATCCGTGCTTTGGGGTGAGGGTTCGGGTTAGGGATAGGGTCTGCGTGCCCTCTTCCTGTTATTTTTCTACGGTAGATACTCTTAAAATTCTGCGTAGTAGGCGGTCCCAACTAGGAGGACAGAAAATACGGCCAGCGGGACAAGAAGGTAATCCCAAAGAGTTGCATGTGGACGAATTCATGAGATTTCGGTACCACCGGGCCAACAAGTGCCAGCCGCTTGCATACGAGAATACAGATGCACGCTATATCTACCGCACTACTGTACAGTACACTCCTCCTGTAGTCTATGCATGCCTGTCTGTCTTTTCTTTGAAACATGTAGTCTATGTAGTCTACACAAGATATACATCCTCGTAATTTTGCCGATAATGTTGACGCCGGGAAATATAAACTCTCTCCGTGCGAAGATGCCACGATAGGCGAGGGACCACCCTCTCTCACGTTCGATGCATATGTACCATGTGTGTGTTGTGTCTTGTGATGTTTCAGGCGCAATGAACGAGATTCAAGATTCTAACCCACAAGGGAGACGGAAAGAAGGCAGAGGTCTGACCAAAAACATCCTGAATCGTCGCTGGACGGAAGACGCTGGTTGCGTATTCCCTCCACCACTGGCGAGAACGGGTGGACAATAACAGTGTGCTGTCGAAGAGCGACAACTGCTATGTGTCGCTTGCCGAACCCACAAAACCAGATTGAGATCGTTGGGGAATAGACATCATCAACACTACTTCGTACCAAGTTTGCTGCGTGTGGTGGCACAGCGACCATGGGTAGGGCAACCCGGGAACGAGTTATATTAATTTCGCGCGAAGCGCGAAAAAAACACGAAGAGGCGTTTGGGCTGAAGCCTCTTTTTTTCTCCTTTTTGTGCCCTCTTGTTGTGACTGTTATCTCGCTCAAATCGAGCTCGATTTCAAAATCGTTTTTTGCTCTGCATTCCCTGGCACTTTGCGAGGAGGACTGATGCATGCGCATCAGAATGTACAAGGAATTGCGGCCGAGGTAGTGCACTAATTAAGAGTATTTATGATTGTGCGGAAGGTACAACCTTTTTTTTTTCTTGCATGCGTCTGTTGTACGTGTACATATCTCTTCGATTTCAAAGTATAGTGTTTTGCTCTACATTGGGCATCTTACGAGAAGGATCGATGCGTGTACATTCAAGCCATGTGTTCTTCTACATTCAAACCTCTACGAAAAACGCGGCAGCATCACGTTTGTGTAGGTTGGTTCTGCCACAGAACACCTGCACCACACCCCGATCAGGGCTAGCATCGGTCGTTGCCGTTTACCCCCAAAACCGGTTTGGGAAACAAAAATTGGAACTTCGGCGACAGCAGAGTTTGCCAATATTATGTAGTCCTCTCCCATTACTGCTACGTACTTACGTTGCTGCCAGGCACTCCTACTGCTGTTGTGGTGCCCACAAGGTTTGCACGCCCCCAAGAAATGACACGTGTCCAGCCTGCATAGTACGGATGGTACTTCTATCCCCTCATCCCCACCTTCGCATTCGGCATGGACGCCCCCGTCCCCACCAAACCGCCCCTATTCACTACCTCAGTCACTGGCTGCTACCGCTGCAACCTATACACAAGGCGTTCCCAAATTCCAACGGGACACAACAGCAGTTGCTCGCCGAATAGGCGCTCGCTGAAATAGCGACGAACAAGCATGGAAAACCAACCCTAGATCTCCGAATGTGCCTGTGCGTAAACCAAGCGTTTACATCTTCCGGTTGTCACAACAGTTCTCCGCAGGATGCAAGATGGCTGCCGATGATCACCAAGAGGTTCGCATTGAATCGCCGTTACATCGCGCAGGATTAACACCACGTCTTCAAACACTGCCCTGGCACCCCATAGGTTAGGTAGCTGTTCGACGGAGAGGAACCGCCAAATTAGCCTTCGACCCCGTCTTGATGTCCAGCGCTCGGTTGTATAAACACCTGTCATCCAAAGCGAGAACGTGACATGTGCTTTGCGATTCAGTATTTTCATCAGAAGCCAAAAGGCAAAAGTGAACATACCCAAGCGTCGAGCTTCTCTACGGCCCTCTGTAGTGCCATGGTTCGACCGCGGGCAGTTGGAAAAAGTGTGTCCGGCCGTTGTGCCATCGATATGCGTCGTAAACAAAAATGCAGGAACTCTCTAAAAACTTGAGTAGCACAAATGTCGCTCCCAGCAGCACACATGCAAGTGTATCCCTCAACAATGTCACGCTCATCCATAGAGTTGTATGTTGTATCGCAATCTGGACTGCACGAAACCCCCTGTTGCTACTCTATGCGTATGACCCACCTAAAGATGAACCGGCTTGTCAAGTGAGGCTCGAGTCGCGGCCGGCTTCCCGCGAGCGCCGCGGTGCCGTTAGGATGCTGAGCCAGTCTACCTGATGCACGGATGGAGCAAGAGGAGGAAAGGGGCCACGAAGAACATACAGGAGGGAAAACGTCAGCAACTGCATTGACCCGCCTCAACGGTGTACCACGTATTTACTACCATACAAGCGTGCACCCTGTGTCCGCCTCAACGAGCGTTACCGATGATAAACCCTGAAACTACTGCTGTACAAGTAGGAATTACACTCGCGCCATGTACATAAAACTGCGGTACACAGGAGGTAAGAACAAACAACCCGCTACCTACTGCTGAAGGTTGCAGTTGAACGTTGACGACAAAAAAGAAAGAACCACGACAAGGTTGTCGATGTACAGCAAGCAGACCTTCACAGATCTCCAGTTCCTCGGAAGGGACTGCGTGGATACAGTTGCTACAAAAGAAAGGATTTGAGGTTGGACGTGGGAAGAAACGGCCTTTGACCCCTAGTCACAGCTTGATACATGCAGCGATGCAGCGTCGGGACGGATTTCGTCTTCGGGGGTCCCCCTCATGAGCTAGGTTGCGCTTTGTGTTTGGTTGTTTGTATGTTCTTGAGGCTTGGTTCGGGGGTGGTTATTGAGGCAGATCAATCAGGTGGCTGCCCTGAACAGCCACATGTACGACGATGTATGCACACGGCGCGGCATTGACGCCCCATCAAAGGACTATTAGCGTGACGTTGCCTCTAGATGCGAGCAGTGTAAACGAGGCGAAATCGTCCGTGGGAGAAAAGGCGTTGATCGAGCGGATCGACGGCTGCGATGAGCGGCACCCCGGCACGGAAACATGGGCGGATTCTCAACGTTTGAAACAGCGACCGAGGATGAGGATAAATATGCATACGATAGATCGGGTGACTTATCATTTGGGAACGGTAACCTACTGTAAGGTGCTTGCAGACGGTCTTGTAATGCCTTCTTCTGATGTAGACTAGACACATTGGGATGAAAGCTTCGTGTTCGAAGGGGGTGGGCATGAACTCCATCTGTTGTGCTGTCTTCGCAGTACTAGCTGGCAAAAATGAAGTAAGAGGATATGATTCACAGCTCACATGGCTGCGGCAAGGTGCTTAACCTCGCCCAAGCTCTTACGAGCGGGCCGGCACTGCTGACGGTCATCGACTCTATCTGCTACACTGCTGTAAAGTTGCTGCGCTGTGGTGAAATGCTTGCGAGAAAAGACCGATTGACTGCGTGACGACGTTGCAGGACAGCACCTGCTGATCTGTCAATGAAGAAACGCTCGGTACCCGTTATGTACGCACACTACAGCAGTACAGCAGCAGCCGTCACATCAATGGGTGCTAAGCAGCGTACAGAGAGGCACGCACACGATACACCCCACGAAGGCTAAGCGCTACAACTCACTGCTGTTGCTGTACACCTGCTTGTAGCACCAACATATTCACCTGGAAAAGCCGAAACGGGGTGACCGCTGCTACCTCTGCCTCTCCTCCTAGCTTTACCGCCGCTAGTGCTCAGCAACGTGTTTTACACAGCCAGCCGTCGCCACCACGCCCTTATCCCATGTCCGTTGCTTCGTGGTCTGTCATGATGATGATGATGATGCCAAAACACAACCGGCGCTCTGGTTGATGATGAGGTCGTTTGCTTCAAGCAGGAGGTTCACGCCGCCGCAGTAGCAGCCCAGCCCCAGGTGGTTTCATGCGGGGCATTGCTTGGCATCTCACCACGTCGCGGCGTCTGTCCACGCGACATACATACGCCGGCAAGCACGTCTTGTGTGCTGTGCAGTGCTGCCGGCGCGGACGTTGGTTCTCAGCACAACGCACGCGCGCGTGGTCTTTACAACTCCTCCTGTACTAATCCCAAGTGCCGCTTTTAAAACCCGCTTTCAAACTCCCAATCAGCTTCGTTCAAATGCGGCGGTTTGGGCCAATCAGAGGCGCCGCTTTTAAAAAATTGATCCCTACCCATGGTCCCTGTTCCCGTGTGGTTGGCTCATCTTGGGCAGTGCGGAGCCCCCACCTTATAGGTGGATACCCCGAAAGGTGCATACCCCCACTCAAAATACAATACCAGTAGCAGATCCCCGTCGACGGCGGGCAATGGGCGGGCGCATGGATGCAAACATACCACGTGAAACATACATACCTCTCCGTCTTCCCCTCTCCCAGGACCACCCGTTGTATCTGCCGCAGCACGTCTGTGGCGCATTTATCTCCTCATCTGATCAAGCAGGGAGGAAGCGGACCAAAGGAGCTTGTGCTGCTAAGGCACCGATCTCTTTTCCAGATCGCACACAATCAACGCTCAAAACACCCCACCGTTGTAGAACTCCGGCGTCCCTGAGAGCTGCTGCTATCCACCGCGGCCCGCCGCTGGAGGCACTGCTAGCTGTGTAGCTCCAACCAGGTGGCATTGCCCCCGCTTGCTGCGGAAGTCGTGGACGGTGCTTGGGCGAGCCGCGGTTCAGTCGATTGCAGGAGCTGTGGGTGTGGGGAGGAGGAGGACCATCCGGGCCTTGGGGCGGCACTGCTGCTGAGCCATGCCGACCCTGCTGTTCAAGTACATCATTATCGGCAACACCGGTGAGCCGCAGCTTTGAGTTCTCGTGTTTTTCCCCAATGCCCCCCTCCCTGCCCCCTTGAGACAGCAGTAGTCGTGGGAGGTTGACGGGCTCTTCCTTGTTCTCTGCAACTGAATTCTTGAAGAAAAGAGATCACTTTTTGACTCTGGCAGGCAGTCGCAAACATGGGCACGCGGCTCTTCTCTCTTATTTTCTGAAAAGATCGATGCGTTGTAGAGACGCCCCACAGACACTCGCAACCAGCAGCTGAGGGCGGGGGTCGCATTCTGAGAGCATTGCATGATCGCGATGCAGCCCGTTGTCGGTGAAAAGATAGAAAACACGGGCGGCACGTCGAAACTTGAGCGGGCTCACCAAGGTGTTCCGAATACCCGACTAAATGGCGGACAGGACCCGCACACACCACAATCAACAAGGTTGTTTCCATCTGCCACTGGCGAGTCATGGCTCTCAAACAAATCGGACATTTATTTCCGGCGTGCACGCAGTATCGGTTCAGACAAATATTAAAAGTTGTCCCGGTGAATTTGCGACGCTTCATCGCTCTTGCTACGCATACATGTAATGATGTACCTGGTTACGTTGCACGTAGATGCATACCATGTACGGACATATCATAGTGCCACCCACCGTTTTCGGGACACGGCGTGTCTACATGTGTACTTCCTGTGTTTGTGGGCGCACCAAACGGGCTCACAATGCAAAAGGCAAAACAGCCAAGGGGCCCTCCATCTGGAAACGTCGGAACACCCCTGGGCTACGCTGCAATCTTGGTCGCGGGGGGGGGGGGGGGGGTCCTTGTATTGTCCCCGGGGGGGACATTTTGACAAAATCCCCGGGGTTTCGACATTTTCGGGCGATTTTTACAGCGCGCGCGCGCGGGATCCCCCACAGAGCTATTAATAGTGGAAAATATGGAAACACCCCAAGAATACGCGTCAACCTTGGTCGCGAGGTCTAGTGCATGTAGGTCTAGTATGACGAACACGAAGCCTACAATTGAAGAGAATTTTACGGGTTTTAGAATGCGGCACGAAAGTCTATTCAACGAAGAGAATATCGGGTTTACTATGAACACACTAAATCCTATACAATAGACTGCTGCAAGCGTGCCGCCTAAACCCCCTATATTGCGCTGCAATCTTGGTCCGGGGGGGGGGGGGGGGGGGGGGGGGG